AACATCCTCAATTATCCAGCGTATTTTCTAACAGTTCAATGAAGTACATTAGACTGGATAATCGATGGTGGCGAGTGGGTGATGAGCGAAAAGGACGGGTTTGGAAGATGGAGGTAGGCAATGCGTGGCTTGATTTTACGTGCGCTTCGTGTATTCTGATTGCTGGTTCTGGGGCAGTCGGCTTTTCCCGTGCCACGTGCCGCAATACATTCGTGACCAACTCGTGCCATCCCGGCCAACCACTCTTGTTGGTTACGGAAAGATGGGAGTGGTGACGAATGCCAGTAACAGCTGAGGTGAAATAGGGTTCAACGATGCGTTCAAGATTGTTGCACTTAGCGACGTGCTTGCGCGCGCTCGTGTGTGTGTTTGGTAGCTAGCTGTTCCAGTCCAGATTAATGCTGGTTTGATAGTGAAAGCTCACGGAGACACCAAGCTACATTTTACCATGGATACCTCACTCAGACACAGTATCCTGAATCCGAGCCGGTTACATGTAGCAGGTCACGTGGTGACTCCCTTGATAACGGGATCCGGTGGTCAGTCTCGCTGACTTGAATGATGGATGTCATCGTATCCCAATGGCACCGTATCGATGCTCATGATGTCAATCACTGGATTGTCTGGTCCATACTCGATTATTTTACAGACCGCCGTCATATAGCTGGAATATTGCTGAGTGCGGCCTTAAACAACAAACAAACAAAACAATCACAGATTAGAATTGTCCCAAGATTATATGCTTGTCGTTAGAGACGACCGTGTGGTTCGAGCGGTCTGGCTAGGTGACTTGTTGATGACGTGTTATCGTACCCCAAAAACGTGGATCGTTGTTCACAATATCAATCACTGGATTGTCTGGTCCAGACTCGATTATTTACAGACCGCTGTCATATAGTTTGCATACCGCTGAGTGCGGCGTTAATCAACAAACAAACAAACCCCTGTTCCCCGATTATATCAAATGTAGGATTAAATTCATTTGTCGTTAATATTTGTGTAACTTTATGTGAAACGGGATTTTTTTGTTTTCACGAGAACCTGTCCGGACCAATCCTTGGAGCGGCTGATAATACAGATGCTCGGTGTGGTGTTCCTCGTGTCCATTGTTCACCGTTTGAGGTGCTGCAGTTCGTCGTGCAGAGTTGCGTCCCTTTGTTGTGCCAGGATACCATATCGTTGTTTCCAATCCAGGTTCACCTTGATTGTTTCTAGGTTTGTCAGCACCGAACAGATGTTCGTGGATTTCAGCAAAGTGGTAAACGTCTAAGACCCGTACCGCGTCGGGTGTTCCGTCCACTCGAAGTTGACCTGTCGTGATATAACCTTGAATACAGTTCAAAGTGGCGTCAAGCGCCCAGCTCACTCACCATAAATAACCAGATGCTACATATAGATTGTGTCACCTACATAGATATGGTTTATACATTGTCATGTCTGAGTTTTAGTGAACGTCGTGTCATATTTGTTGCACTCAGTGGGGATTCTGACCCATGAAGATCCGGGGTAGAATAGGTCTTCAGCAACTCATGCTTGTCGTAAAAGGCGACTAACGGGATCGGTTAATCAGGATCGCTGACTTGGTTGATGCATGTCATCGTATCCCAATGGTGGTGAGGTGAGGTGAAATAGGGTTTAACGATGCGTTCAAGATTATTGCACTTAGCGACGTGCTTGCGCGCGCGCACGTGTGTGTGTGTTTGTCTGATAGCTGGTTCTAGTCCAGATTTATGCCGGTTTTACAGTGCAAGCTCACGGGTATACCAAGCAACATGTTACCATGGATACCTCACTCAGACACAGTATCCTGAATCGGAGCCGGGTACATGTTGCAGGCCACGTGAAGATTCCTGTTAGAATTCGTCTCCAGTAGCAAGAGGCGACTAACGTGATCGGGTGGTCAGACTCTCTGACTTGGTTAATGCGGGGCGGTCGGGTAGCCTAGTGGTTAAAGCGTTCGCTCGTCACGCCGAAGACCCGGGTTCGATTCCCGACATGGGTACAATGTGTGAAGCCCATTTCTGGTGTCCCCCGCCGTGATATTGCTGGAATATTGCTAAAAGCGGCTTAAAACCAAACTCACTCACTCACTCACTTGGTTGATGCATATCGTCGTATCCCAATTACGTGGATCGATTTTCAAGATGTCAATCACTGAACTGTCTGGTCCGGATACGATTATTTACTGACCGCCGTCATATGGCTGGAATATTGCGGAGTGCGGCGCTAAACAACAAACAAACAAACAAACAAACAAACAAACAAACAAACAGTGGGGAGTCTGGGTTGGAGTCGGTCCCCAGGATCCTGGGCTTGTATGAGAGACGACTTAATAGATCGGGGGGTCAGGCTCGGTGACTTGGCTGATGCGTGCCATATCGTACCCCTACGGCCCTGATCGTTTCTAACACTATCCATTACTGGATTGTCTGGTCCAGACCGGATTATTTACAGGCCGCCGTCATATAGCTGAAACGAGGCGTGATTAAATGATTATTCTCTCACATGAAAATAATGAGTCATATAACTTAAAAAGACTATGGGACTGTGTCTGACTCTATTTTGGACATTCCTTTCTTAGCTCCTGAAGCGATCTTGTCAAATTTTAATTAGAATACCTAAGTATTTAAAATCATCTGCCAGGCATGTATGGAAGTGAAAAGGCGTGTCTGTGAGTGAAAAGGCATGTATGTGAGTGAAAAGACATGTCTGTGAGTAATAAGGCATGTCTGTGAGTAATAAGGCATTTCTGTGAGTGAAAAGGCATGTCTGTGAGTGAAAAGGCTTGTCTGTGAGTAATTAGCCTTGTCTGTGAGTAATAAGGTATATCTGTGAGTGAAAATTATTTCTTGGAGTAATAAGGCATATCTGTGCGTGAAAAGGTATGTCTGTGAGTGAAAATGCATGTCTGCGAGTGAAAAGGCATGTCTGTTAGTAATAAGGCATATCTGTGCGTGAAAAGGTATGTCTGTGCGTGAAAATGCATGTCTGCGAGTGAAAAGGCATGTATGTGAGTGAAAAGACATGTCTGTGAGTAATAAGGTATGTCTGTGAGTAATAAGGCATTTCTGTGAGTGAAAAGGCATGTCTGTGAGTGAAAAGGCTTGTCTGTGAGTAATTAGTCTTGTCTGTGAGTAATAAGGTATATCTGTGAGTGAAAAAGTATTTCTGTTAGTAATAAGGCATATCTGTGCGTGAAAAGGTATGTCTGTGAGTGAAAATGCATGTCTGCGAGTGAAAAGGCATGTCTTTTAGTAATAAGGCTTATCTGTGAGTAATAAGGCATGTCTGTGAGTGGAAATGCATATCTCTGAGTAATAAGGTATTTCTGTGAGTAATAAGGCATATCTGTGAGTGAAAAGGTATGTATGTAAGTGAAAAGGGATGTATGCGAGTGAAAAGGCTTGTCTGTGAGTAATAAGGCTTGTCTGTGAGTAATAAGGCATGTCTGTGAGTGGAAATGCATATCTCTGAGTAATAAGATATTTATGTGAGTAATAAGGCATATCTGTGAGTGAAAAGGCATGTATGGAAGTGAAAAGGTATATCTGTGAGTGAAAAGGCATGTCTGTGAGTAATAAGGCATATCTCTGAGTGAAAAGGTATGTCTGCGAGTGGTAAGGTCTGCCTGTGAGTAATAAGGCATATCTATGTGTAAAAAGTTTGTCTGTGAGTGAAAAGGCATGTCTGCGAGTGGAAAGGCATATCTGTGAGTAATACGGCATATCTGTGAGTAATAAGGCATATCTGTGAGTGGAAAGGCATGTATGGAAGTGAAAAGGTATATTTTTGAGTGAAAAGGCATGTCTGTGAGTGAAAAGGTATGTCTGCGAGTAATAAGGCATATCTCTGAGTGAAAAGGTATATCTGCGAGTGGTAAGGTCTGCCTGCGAGTAATAAGGCATATCTATGTGTAAAAAGTTTGTCTGTGAGTGAAAAGGCATGTCTGCGAGTGGAAAGGCATATCTGTGAGTAATAAGGCATATCTGTGAGTAATAAGGCATATCTGTGAGTGGAAAGGCATGTATGGAAGTGAAAAGGTATATTTGTGAGTGAAAAGGCATATCTGTGAGTGAAAGGAATGTCTGCGAGTAATAAGACATATCTCTGAGTGAAAAAGTATGTCTGCGAGTGAAAAGGTATATCTGTGAGTAATAAGGCATGTATGTGAGTAATAAGGCATATCTGTGAGTGAAAGGTATGTCTGCGAGTAATAAGACATATCTCTGAGTGAAAAAGTATGTCTGCGAGTCAAAAGGTATATCTGTGAGTAAAAAGGCATGTCTGAGAGTAAAATAGGCATATCTGTGAGTGAAAAGGCATATCTGTGAGTGAAAAGGCATATCTGTGAGTGAAAAGGCATATCTGTGAGTGAAAAGGCATGTCTGTGAGTGAAGCGCTTTCTCTCATATGTCTCTCGGTTTTATCGTGCACGCATTTGAATGTGCAGAACATATACACCCTTTGGGTGCCGTTTTTGTTGTTGTTGTTGTTTGTTTGGGGGGCTTCGCCTTCATGTTTTTGTGTATTTCTTATTTCGAACACGCACAAGCCTCATGAACGTAGTACCTTCTCGTGCATCATTTGCTACAAGGTGAGATCGACGCAAAGCTTCTCAAACAGAAGTAGGATTTTGGGAAGAGAACCCACGACCTTGGAACAAGTGAGTCAAGAAGCAATCTATTTCAGCGTGAGTGCTGTCAGGTAATACTGGGATACAATAGGTAAATAAATTGCTGTAGATAGTTGTTGACTGTGCTGCACAATGAAAGGTACAAAATCTAGGTGACTGGGCTCCCGTCTACTATTAACAACGTGTACACACTCAGTGGCAAACTTTTTCCGACAGTGATTGGTGGAGATGAGGTTTAATCCTCAGTTTCATTGGTCCATTGTGTTTTTCGGATATGTTCCGATCATATAACTTGTACACAGCCATACAGCTAGAACCTGAAATACGTCATAGAGACCTCGCACCTGAAGGAGGAACCCAGTTACATAAACCAGTCAGTATAAATACGACGAGAAAACGCCCAACATTATATCCCTGACATCGTCCGTACATCCGTCGACTCGGTCCGCCAACAGCATGAAGTACGTTGCAGTCGTCCTTGCCGTAGCCATATGTTTCAGTGACGGTAAGATTGTCTTGCTCACACAAGTTTTTAATCGTCAAATATTTAGATACCGAAAACACTTAATCAAGGTTTTACAGCTACAGTTATTCCAAAAGTTAATCTTAATTGCATTCATCAGCATTCAAAACATTGACGTGAAAACAGTTGTCGAATATGTTCTTTTTTATACTCTGCTAAAAGAATCAGACCATTTAGAATTTGAAAGAAGACAAGAAGCTGGCCGACTTGCAATCCTTGCAAGCTTGAATTTTGCTGTTAACTTTTTTTATAACCTACCTAGCAGGTGTTGATTGACATGATAGCGCACACTCAATCACTCAAGCTGAACATGGTATGAATTAATTTATCAAGAAATAGACTGGAAATTGGTACCCGACAGGGCATAGTCCCTCTCATCTCCTCTAGGCAATAGTCCACTAGTCAAAATCAAAGCCTTGTGTCAACTATACTTTGATATAGGCTAGTAGACATGCATGAGGAATATGAGTCCCCCTTTAAAGGTGTTATCACAGGCAAAGCCTTTGATTCGTTTAGATGCGGAATAGTTCCGATCCATGTCAGAGAGAAATTTAACAAAAAATACATGCTATGTCAGAGTGGCCTGTGTTTGGTCATATCATTTATGACCTGTACGCTTTAGTGGCTTGTGTGTGGTCATATCACTTATAGCCTGTACGCTTTAGTGGCTTGAGTATGGTCATATCACTTATGACCTGTACGCTTTAGTGGCTTGTGTTTGGTCTTTCACTTATGACCTGTACACTTTAGTGGCTTGAGTATGGTCATATCACTTATGACCTGTACGCTTTAGTGGCTTGTGTGTGGTCATGTCACTTATGACCTGTACGCTTTAGTGGCTTGTGTTTGGTCATATCACTTAAGACCTGTACACTTTAGTGGCTTGTGTTTGGTCATATCACTTAAGACCTGTACGCTTTAGTGGCTTGTGTTTGGTCATATCACTTAAGACCTGTACACTTTAGTGGCTTGAGTATGGTCATATCACTTATGACCTGTATGCTTAAGTGGCGTGTGTGTAGTCAAATCACTCATGACCTGTACGCTTTAGTGGCTTGTGTGTAGTCATATCACTTATGACCTGTACGCTTTATTGGCTTGTGTGTAGTCATATCACTTATGACCTGCACGCTTAAGTGGCGTGTGTGTGGTCATATCACTCATGACCTGTACGCTTAAGTGGCGTGTGTGTAGTCATATCACTCATGACCTGAATGCTGTAGTGGCTTGTGTGTAGTCATATCACTTATGACCTGTATGCTTAAGTGGCGTGTGTGTGGTCATATCACTCATGACCTGAATGCTGTAGTGGCTTGTGTGTGGTCATATCACTCATGACCTGTACGCTTTAGTGGCTTGTGTGTGGTCATGTCACTTATGACCTGTACGCTTTAGTGGCTTGTGTGTGGTCATATCACTCATGACCTGTACGCTTTAGTGGCTTGTGTGTGGTCATATCACTCATGACCTGAATGCTGTAGTGGCTTGTGGTGTGGTCATATCACTCATGACCTGAATGCTGTAGTGGCTTGTGTGTAGTCATATCACTTATGACCTGTATGCTTAAGTGGCGTGTGTGTGGTCATATCACTCATGACCTGTACGCTTAAGTGGCGTGTGTGTAGTCATATCACTCATGACCTGTACGCTTAAGTGGCGTGTGTGTGGTCATATCACTCATGACCTGAATGCTGTAGTGGCGTGTGTGTGGTCATATCACTCATGACCTGAATGCTTAAGTGGCGTGTGTGTGGTCATATCACTCATGACCTGTACGCTTAAGTGGCGTGTGTGTAGTCATATCACTTATGACCTGAATGCTGTAGTGGCGTGTGTGTGGTCATATCACTCATGACCTGTACGCTTAAGTGGCGTGTGTGTGGTCATATCACTCATGACCTGAATGCTGTAGTGGCTTGTGTGTGGTCATATCACTCATGACCTGTACGCTTTAGTGGCTTGTGTGTGGTCATATCACTCATGACCTGTACGCTTTAGTGGCTTGTGTGTGGTCATATCACTCATGACCTGTACGCTTTAGTGGCTTGTGTGTGGTCATATCACTCATGACCTGTATGCTTAAGTGGCGTGTGTGTAGTCATATCACTCATGACCTGTACGCTTTAGTGGCTTGTGTGTAGTCATATCACTTATGACCTGTATGCTTAAGTGGCGTGTGTGTAGTCATATCACTTATGACCTGTATGCTTAAGTGGCGTGTGTGTAGTCAAATCACTTATGACCTGTACGCTTTAGTGGCTTGTGTGTAGTCATATCACTTATGACCTGTATGCTTAAGTGGCGTGTGTGTGGTCATATCACTCATGACCTGAATGCTGTAGTGGCTTGTGTGTAGTCATATCACTTATGACCTGTATGCTTAAGTGGCATGTGTGTAGTCATATCACTTATGACCTGTATGCTTAAGTGGCGTGTGTGTAGTCATATCACTTATGACCTGTACGCTTTAGTGGCTTGTGTGTAGTCATATCACTTATGACCTGTATGCTTAAGTGGCGTGTGTGTGGTCATATCACTTATGACCTGTATGCTTAAGTGGCGTGTGTGTAGTCAAATCACTTATGACCTGTATGCTTAAGTGGCGTGTGTGTGGTCATATCACTCATGACCTGTACGCTTTAGTGGCTTGTGTGTGGTCATGTCACTTATGACCTGTACGCTTTAGTGGCTTGTGTGTGGTCATATCACTCATGACCTGTACGCTTTAGTGGCTTGTGTGTGGTCATATCACTCATGACCTGAATGCTGTAGTGGCTTGTGGTGTGGTCATATCACTCATGACCTGAATGCTGTAGTGGCTTGTGTGTAGTCATATCACTTATGACCTGTATGCTTAAGTGGCGTGTGTGTGGTCATATCACTCATGACCTGTACGCTTAAGTGGCGTGTGTGTGGTCATATCACTCATGACCTGAATGCTGTAGTGGCTTGTGTGTAGTCATATCACTTATGACCTGTATGCTTAAGTGGCGTGTGTGTAGTCATATCACTTATGACCTGTATGCTTAAGTGGCGTGTGTGTAGTCAAATCACTTATGACCTGTACGCTTTAGTGGCTTGTGTGTAGTCATATCACTTATGACCTGTATGCTTAAGTGGCGTGTGTGTGGTCATATCACTCATGACCTGAATGCTGTAGTGGCTTGTGTGTAGTCATATCACTTATGACCTGTATGCTTAAGTGGCATGTGTGTAGTCATATCACTTATGACCTGTATGCTTAAGTGGCGTGTGTGTAGTCATATCACTTATGACCTGTACGCTTTAGTGGCTTGTGTGTAGTCATATCACTTATGACCTGTATGCTTAAGTGGCGTGTGTGTGGTCATATCACTCATGACCTGAATGCTGTAGTGGCTTGTGTGTAGTCATATCACTTATGACCTGTATGCTTAAGTGGCGTGTGTGTGGTCATATCACTCATGACCTGTACGCTTAAGTGGCTTGTGGTGTGGTCATATCACTCATGACCTGAATGCTGTAGTGGCTTGTGGTGTGGTCATATCACTCGTGACCTGTACACTTTAGTGGCTTGTGTGTGGTCATATCACTTATGACCTGTATGATTAAGTGGCTTGTTTGTTGCCCAGTTGTCTAAGGCGCCGCGATTCGCTGTGCAGAGTTGCGTCCAGAAACCTATGATTGTGGGTTCGAATCCCGTTTCGCCCCAATTATGTTTCTAGGTTTGACTGCACCATGCCCGTGCTCGTGGGTTTCACCGAATTGTAAACGTCTGAGACCTGCATCACTTCGGGCTTCCTCCCACATTAAGCTGACACGCCGCGATATAACTGGAATACTGTTAAAAGTGGCGTTAAACCCAACTCACTCAATCACTCACTCACTCGTAATATGTGGTCTTAAACCTCTATTTGTGTATGTGTGTTCCTTCAGGATGTGGTTAGTTTCTCGTAGCCCAAAAGTTGACTGAATAAACGACAGATAATCTTTCTGTCTGCATGTAAAGGCCATAATTCATGCATAATCAAAGTTGCAACAGAGCGATCGTAGCGTACGACGACCGCGAGTCGACAGTCGTAGCAAAGATCGCGTTATCGAACGGAAGTAACGCTGGTCTTAGACGTTTACCATTCTGTGTAACTCACTAGCGCTGGCACGGTGCTGACAAACCTAAACACATAATCACGTTCACGATCATAGCTTAATGGCACACCAGAGGTGTGCCTTTTATTTACATATAGCTTGAATATTGCTGAGTGCGGCGTAAAACAACAAACAAGCAAACAGCAAGAAAGCAATAATCTTGAACGCAATGTTAAAACCTTTTCACCTCACCTCGTTATACCCATGTTAAACGGTGTGTTGTCTATTTTCCTGTTATACCCTTCAGCCACGTCGAACACCTGGGGCAGGTATGAGGCAGCCATACGTCTTCTAGCTAACGACACGTTGTTCCGGCCGCTGGTGGAGTCGCACATGAAGACGTACAGGGAGGCACAGCGGACAAGTCCGGTGAGTGTCCTGGATTGAGTGAGGAGGGATTTGTGTGAGTGAGTGATAGGTGGGATGTGAGTCTGCTTCCGAGAGGGAGAGTGGTGTAGAGTTGAGCGAGTTGGTCTCCCTGCGATAGGTTGAGTTGGTAGAGTTGACGGGGCCGTTCTCCTTGCGATAGGTCAAGTGGTGTAAATTATGCGGGTCGGTCTCCTTGCAATAGGCGTGAATTCGGTAGAATTGAGCTTGTCATTCTCTTTGCGATAGGTTGAGTGGGGTAGAGTGGAGCACGTCGTTCTCCTTGCGATAGGTTGAGTGGTATAGAATTGAGTGGGTTGGTCTCCATGAGATAGGGTGAGTGGTGTAGAATTGAGCACGTCGTTCTCCTTGTGATAGGGTGAGTGGTGTAAAATTGAGTGGGTTGGTCTCCATGAGATAGGGTGAGTGGTGTAGAATTGAGCGGGTCGGTCTCCATGAGATAGGGTGAGTGGTGTAGAATTGAGCGGGTCGGTCTCCTTGCGAAAGGGTGAGTGGTGTAGATTTGAGCGGGTTGGTCTCCTTGTGATAGGGTGAGTGGTGTAGAATTGAGCGGGTCGGTCTCCTTGCGATAGGGTGAGTGGTGTAGAATTGAGCGGGTTGCTCTCCTTGTGATAGGGTGAGTGGTGTAGAATTAAGCGGGCCGGTCTCCTTGCGATAGTGTGAGTGGTGTAGAATTGAGCGGGTCGGTCTCATTGCGATAGGATGAGTGGTGTAGAATTGAGCGGGTTGATCTCCTTGTGATAGGGTGAGTGGTGTAGAATTGAGCGGGTCGGTCTCCTTGCGATAGGATGAGTGGTGTAGAATTGAGCGGTTCGGTCTCCTTGCGATAGTGTGAGTGGCGTAGAATTTAGCGGGCCGGTCTCCTTGCGATAGGGTGAGTGGTGTAGAATTGAGTGGGTCGGTCTCCTTGCGATAGGGTGAGAGGCGTAGAATTGAGCGGGTTGGTATCTTTGCGTTCGGGTGAGTGGTGTAGAATTGAGCGGGCCGGTCTCTTTGCGATAGTGTGAGTGGTGTAGAATTGAGCGGGTCGATCTCCTCGCGATAGGATGAGTGGTGTAGAATTGAGCGGGTTGGTCTCCTTGCGATAGGGTGAATGGTGTAGAATTGAGCGGGTCGGTCTCCTTGCGATAGGGTGAGTGGTGTAGAATTGAGCGGGTTGGTCTCTTTGCGATAGGGTGAGTGGTGTAGAATTGAGCAGGTTTGTCTCCTTGCGATAGGGTGAGCGGTGTAGAATTGAGCGGGTTGGTCTATTTGCGATAGGGTGAGTGGTGTAGAATTGAGCACGTCGTTCTCCTTGTGATAGGGTGAGTGGTGTAGAATTGAGCGGGTCGGTCTCCTTGCGATAGGGTGAATGGTGTAGAATTGAGCGGGTCGGTCTCCTTGCGATAGGGTGAATGGTGTAGAATTGAGCGGGTTGGTCTCCTTGCGATAGGGTGAATGGTGTAGAATTGAGCGGGTCGGTCTCCTTGCGATAGGGTGAGTGGTGTAGAATTGAGCGGGTTGGTCTCCTTGCGATAGGGTGAATGGTGTAGAATTGAGCGGGTCGGTCTCCTTGCGATAGGGTGAATGGTGTAGAATTGAGCGGGTCGGTCTCCTTGCGATAGGATGAGTGGTGTAGAATTGAGCGGGTTGGTCTCCTTGCGATAGGGTGAATGGTGTAGAATTGAGCGGGTCGGTCTCCTTGCGAGAGGATGAGTGGTGTAGAATTGAGCGGGTTGGTCTCTTTGCGATAGGGTGAGTGGTGTAGAATTGAGCGGGTTGGTCTCCTTGCGATAGGGTGAATGGTGTAGAATGGAGCGGGTTGATCTCCTTGGTGGAATTTGGCGTGTTGGTATCCATGAGATATGGTGAGTTCGGTGGAATTAAGCGGGTTGGTCTCCTTGCGAGAGGATGAGTTCGGTGGAATTGAGCGGGTTGGTCTCCTTGAGATAGGGTGAGTTCGGTGGAATTGAGCGGGTTGGTCTCCATGAGATATGGTGAGTTCGGTGGAATTGAGCGGGTTGGTCTCCATGAGATATGGTGAGTTCGGTGGAATTGAGCGGGTTGGTCTCCTTGCGATATGGTGAGTGGTGTAGAATTGAGCGGGTCGGTCTCCTTGCGATAGGGTGAGAGGCGTAGAATTGAGCGGGTTGGTATCTTTGCGTTCGGGTGAGTGGTGTAGAATTGAGCGGGTCGATCTCCTCGCAATAGGATGAGTGGTGTAGAATTGAGCGGGTTGGTCTCCTCGCGATAGGATGAGTGGTGTAGAATTGAGCGGGTTGGTCTCCTTGCGATAGGGTGAATGGTGTAGAATTGAGCGGGTCGGTCTCCTTGCGATAGGGTGAGTGGTGTAGAATTGAGCGGGTTGGTCTCTTTGCGATAGGGTGAGTGGTGTAGAATTGAGCAGGTTTGTCTCCTTGCGATAGGGTGAGTGGTGTAGAATTGAGCGGGTTGGTCTCTTTGCGATAGGGTGAGTGGTGTAGAATTGAGCACGTCGTTCTCCTTGTGATAGGGTGAGTGGTGTAGAATTGAGCGGGTCGGTCTCCTTGCGATAGGGTGAATGGTGTAGAATTGAGCGGGTCGGTCTCCTTGCGATAGGGTGAATGGTGTAGAATTGAGCGGGTTGGTCTCCTTGCGATAGGGTGAATGGTGTAGACTTGAGCGGGTCGGTCTCCTTGCGATAGGGTGAGTGGTGTAGAATTGAGCGGGTTGGTCTCCTTGCGATAGGGTGAATGGTGTAGAATTGAGCGGGTCGGTCTCCTTGCGATAGGATGAGTGGTGTAGAATTGAGCGGGTTGGTCTCCTTGCGATAGGGTGAATGGTGTAGAATTGAGCGGGTCGGTCTCCTTGCGAGAGGATGAGTGGTGTAGAATTGAGCGGGTTGGTCTCTTTGCGATAGGGTGAGTGGTGTAGAATTGAGCGGGTTGGTCTCCTTGCGATAGGGTGAATGGTGTAGAATGGAGCGGGTTGATCTCCTTGGTGGAATTTGGCGTGTTGGTATCCATGAGATATGGTGAGTTCGGTGGAATTAAGCGGGTTGGTCTCCTTGCGAGAGGATGAGTTCGGTGGAATTGAGCGGGTTGGTCTCCTTGAGATAGGGTGAGTTCGGTGGAATTGAGCGGGTTGGTATCCATGAGATATGGTGAGTTCGGTGGAATTGAGCGGGTTGGTCTCCATGAGATATGGTGAGTTCGGTGGAATTGAGCGGGTTGGTCTCCTTGCGATATGGTGAGTTCGGTGGAATTGAGCGGGTTGGTCTCCATGAGATAGGGTGAGTTCGGTGAAACTAAGCGGGTTGGTTTCCATGAGATAGGGTGAATTCGGTAAAATTGAGCTGGTTGGTCTCCATAATGGCGTCGGGATGATCGGACCGGTGACTTTAAAATTGTAGCTGATTTTGAAGATCCAAATGCTTTTGCCCCGCTTGAAAAAGTGTGTTTCTATTCCAATATAAACACTGCCTCTTTCCTTTGTGCTGAACGTAATCAAACAGAAACGCGAAATGACAAAATTACGGTTGCTTCTCATTCACTACGGTCGTGCGTAGAGTTTGTTTGTTTGTTGTTTACCGCCGCACTCAGCAATATTCAAGCTATATGACAGCGGTCTCTTAAATAAACGAGTCTGGACCAGACAGCGATTGACATCATGAGCATCGATTATACCCAACTGGGATATGATGACATGCATCAACCAAGTCAGCTAGCCTGACCACCCGACACCGTTAGTCGCCTCTTACAACAAACATTGTCGCCTTTTACGGCAAGCATGGGTTGCTGAAGACAAATTCTATCCCAGGGTTCATAGGGTACGTCCGTAGAGAAGCATCGGGAATACATAGAACGGGACCAACATCCGGGTGAAGGGCTCGGGGTTTTGTTTGAGATTTTGTTTCTTTCAGTCACTGCTACAAAACATACAAATTGCAAAGCCCGGGGATATATTTTCTTTCAAAGCAATTTCGGGAAGGCTTTTATATACACGTATCCAAGGCACCCCCCAAGAGTCTCAAATGGTCGACTCTAAAGACCTCCTAATTGTTGCAGCTTCGCATGGATCAAGCAGGGAGGAACTTTGCATGCCCTGGCGGAACATCTCCAAGTGTGCCCACATCAGGTACAGTAGACGGGGTAGTATAGGGGTGGGCCGGGTTTGGGGTGGCTGCTTTTGGGGACGGGGGAGGAGGAGGAGGTGTATGTCTGAGTGGGTAGTGATTGTCTCATCTATCTATTTACACTCAGGTCTCAGCGACATAAAAGGTTCAATTCTTAAGTTTTGATTGATTATAGAAGATCATATGAACATGAAAACCATGTTGCAATCTCATAAATCTCATAAGCATCTTTCATGAAATATTCTTTCCCGGTTTGAGTGAGTGAGTGGGTATGGTTTTACGCCGCTTTTAGCAATATTCAAGCAATATCACGGCGGGGGACACCAGAAGTGGGCTTCACACATTGTACCCATGTCAGGAATCGAACCCGGGTCTTCGGCGTGACGAGCGAACGCTTTATCACTAGGCTACCCGATCGCCCATTTCCCGGTTTGAACTTTATCACAGTTTGGGTGGTGGGTGGTGGGTGGTGGGTGTGGGTGGTGGGGGTTGGGGGTTGGGGGTTGGGTGGTAATGGACTCACCGGGTAGTGTACGGCTTGTCGTGGTAATAGTTCAGAGTCTGGTGGGATGAGGTGACAATGGAGGGCTGGGATGTGGACGACGAGGGTCAGAGCGTAGAGGTGGGGTTAAGGGTCACAGTGTAGGGGTGAGGGCCACAGTGTAGGGGTGAGGGCCACAGTGTAGGGGTGAGGGTCACAGTGTCTGGAGGGCTGATGACGGTCACAGTGTTTTGGTGGGTGGTGAGAAGTTCGTACGGGGGAGAGGGATGACTGTTAAAATGGGGGAATAGTAAATTTGGGGATGCAGACAGACACCGAGGCGAGGATACGCGGATAATGATGATAAAACTGCCATATTATAGCGTGACGACGTACTCTGTTCACGTGTCATTGTATCTATCGTTTTCACAAATAATATTTCATTTTTGTGAATGTGTTAAATAAAACCTTTCTGACACCATGACTTCCAAATTTGGAGATTGAAAAAAAGTTAAAATATTTTTTTTACATCAGTGCACGCGCTGAGAGCTGGGGACATCAAGGTCGTTGCCGCTTTGGGGGATTCTCTCACAGTAAGTACCCTTAAGTGGACAGTTGTCCGGAAGTAGTTGAAGAGTTACATCCCTTGCCTGACAAGATAGAAGCCTTGATCCGGCGAATAACGTATGCATTTCTGGGTATGACACCTCGCTGGAAAATCAAATTATCAAAATTAATCTTACCTGTGCGCAGGTGTCGTTGCAAACATGATGTAACAGCTTATGTGGGTAGGACTTTGACGATGTCACTGATCACATGACTGATCACGTGTTCCAGGCAGCCAATGGCGCGGACGCGTGGACCATTCTGGGCTGTCTCACAGAATATAGAGGCACCACCTGGAGGTATGAATGATAAAGATAATAACGACAATGATAATAGCGATATTGATAAAGATGACCAGAATAATAACTATAATGAATATAACGATTATAAATATTATGCGATCCGGTTGTACACAACACAATATTCACTGGCTGTGTGTTGGTCAAAACCCTTTTCTTTCATTTCCAGCATCGGCGGAGACCGGACAATTTCATCCGATGGGATAACTCTTGCAAGTAAGTTCCACCTTGAAGTCAAATACAGAGAGAGAGAGAGAGAGAGAGAGAGAGAGAGAGAGAGGTCCCACACCCCCATACACCCTTTTGAAAACCATATGAAGTCAGTTGGAGGCAGCAAATTTATCTGCGAATTTTTTTTGATATTTTGGACCCCTGCCTTTTATATGTGCTTGATGCCTTTGATGTCAGTTATCTTTTGTAAGTGAGTGAGTTAATATGTTTTACGCTGTTTTAGCAATATTTCAGCAATATCACGGCGGGGAACACCAGAATTGGGCTTCACACATTGTACCCATGTCGGGACTCGAACCCGGGTCTTCGGCGTGACGAGCAAACGCTTTAACCACTAGGTTACCCGACCGCCCCTTATTTTGTAAGTAAATGATGCTATTCCTGAGAGTTTCCTGCGGGTGTGGTTCTGAAGGACCTTGACCTTGATTCGAACCCACCATCACGATTTAGGGGAACACCTCCACTGGACGCGTGACTGTACTCTTCTTGAGCGAGTGAATCTTACGCAATTGAGCGAGCGAATATTCCACCATAGATACTTTAGTACATAGGTACTTTACCCATTGGAGTTTGTGTGAGTGAGTGTTACGTTTTTTAAGAAAAATTGCAATATGTCATGAACATCCAGCGGGGGACTCCAGAAATGAGCTCCACACGTTGGACCCATGTGGAGAATCAAACCCGGACATTCGTTGTGGCAACGGACGCTTTACCCACTCGGCTACCCCACCGCGCCTAACCCCATCCATGGATCGGCTGATGGCCGTCGACACATGAAGTGTAGTGAGCACGTGTTGCAGCCACATAACGTTGGCTTGTGAATGTGTGAATCTGTGAATGAGTGAATCTCCCACAATTGAGCGTGTGAATATTCTATCATGGATGGGTACTCCATTTACCCATTGGGGTTTGCGTGAGTGAGTGAGTCTGGGTTTACGCCGCCTTTAGCAATTCTTCAGTAACATTACAGCGGGGACACAAGAATCGAGCTTCACACATTGTACCCATTTGGATATCACCTTACAACGAACGCTTCAACCCCACCGCGCCCTAACCCCAACAATGGATAGACCATGATGTGCGAGCATTCACATATGAAGTATAGTGGGCACAGTTAAAGCCACGGTGGCTTGTAAATGGTCAAATCTGGATCAGGCAAACCACTGGACCATACTGGCCATGTGTTGAGATATGGAGTAGTGAGTCAATAGGGCCCCACACCTCTTCCAGCAATATCATAGCGAGGAAAAATATATGAAATACACTGCCGGGCAAAAGAAAGTATACACCATGTTTGATGGTGGGTAAAAATGAAACAATCAAGAAATGGTTATTCGATGGTAACGTATTTGATGGGGGTATCATTGTTGAGTTTTGGACTGTTTTCAGCAAAGTTTTGATTACGTTTGTAATTTTTGTGTCAATTCCAATTTTCAATGTTTCCTTACTTAGCCCGGCAGTGTGCATGAAGTATCACTACCATGAATCATGAATATGTAAAAAAGATAGTCGACACCATACATCCGTAACGACATATCAAATTACAAATTTGAGTAAAATACATTATTTTATAAGTCTCACTGACATTTTTTTCAATGAAATAAGGGGGCACGGGTGGCCCAGTCGTCTAAGGCGCCGCGATTCGCTGTGGAGAGTTGCATCCCTTGGGCACGCCAGAAACCTATGATTGTGGGTTCGAATCCCGGTTCGCCCCAATTATGTTTCTTGGTTTGTCAGCACCATACCCGTGCTCGTGGGTTTCACCGAAGTGGTAAACGTCTGAGACCTGCATCACTTCGGGCTTTCCTCCCACATTAAGCTGACACGCCGTGATATAACTGGAATAATGTTAAAAGCGGCGTTAAACCCAACTCACTCACTCACTCACTCAATGAAATAAAATAAAATTGTTATATTCAATTTCGTCAGATATAATACGTTATTTCAACCCCAACGTGTACGGCTTCTCCGAGGGCACTGGTGACAGAGACTCCGCCAAGAAACGATTCAACGTGGCCAAAGCGGGGGACAAGAGCATGTACGTAGTAACTTTAAAGACAGTCATCGAGCGTTTATTCCAATCGCTGCTTTATCGAAGAAAGGGGCTTTCATTATAGTACTATCGTACTGGTAGTTACAACAGTACTTGCGTTCAATTTCATATCACGGAACGACTCTGTCGAACCCGTGTTGACCAAGGTATAACTCAAGTTAAGATTGGTTGAGCTCATGTTAACGGATTGACGTCATACTTCGGTTGACCTCAGTCGCCAGGTGACCTACTGAACCCCTAGGTGCGGTACTGCGGTTAGCAGCCTTAGTGACGTCATCGTTACAGGTGTTTAGTGTCTTTTATTGAATCATATATAAAACATTTAAATGAATATAATTAAGTAGGTATTGATAGTATATATGTATTCTGGGAAATCAGGGAAATTTTACTTTCGATTGATAATATACTGATGATTCGGGTAAATACTTTAGAATCAGTGATACATCTCTGTTTGATGCACAACGCGCTACTTTGAACTTTCTTGTCTGTTTACAAGGATAAATAATACAATAAATAATAACCCTCACGAGATTCAGACTGAGTTTTCTTACTTTGGAAATTGAGAATGGGCGTCATTATAGAATTCCAAGAAATTTAAGAAAATGCAAACTTTGTAACTTCCTGCTTATTTGTCAAACGTATGTCAAGTTACGGCAACTATATCTCAAAGCAAAGTTCCATTGTCATCCTAATGTTCATAAATTTAATATGCTTCTGTCCTCACCAGATACATGTATTATTACAAATCTATCAAAATATGTATATTATGCAAATGAAGTTAGAAATGCGAAACTGAATGTTTAAATCTTGTCTGTACTCAACTTTTGTACACGAAGGCCTGTGGCCGATATGTATTGGAAATAAAATGATTGAATGAATGATTGGTAATAAAGTCGGTCAGGTGAGGTGAAACTTGGTTTAACGCCGCGTCCAAGATTATTGCACTTAGCGACGTGCATGTACGTGTGTGTGGCTGCTTGTACTAGTCCGGAATGATGCCGATTTATAGTGCTAGCACACTGAGATACCATGCCGCAGTTTAACATGAATATCCCACTCAGACACAGTGTACTAACTCCGAGCCGTCCAGCCCTTGTTTAAGCTTCTTAAAGCTGGACAAGTACCATCTTTTAACATCTTTAGGTATGGCGAGGCCTGGGATCGAACCCCGGACCTCTACCACTAGACCACGGAGGCGGTCAATTAATAAAGGCACATTGTGATTCAATGACACACTTGTGTTTTAGTTTTAGTTATAGCACATGACTGTTGTGTTTCTCCGTTCTTTGCAGCCATTTTGCATTGTATTTGGTTTGCATTCTATGCGGTTTTTTTGGGGTGCTGCCACGTTATCCTTGATTAACACTGGTTAACTGGAATCTAGTCAACCCTGGCTTCCAGAAATGTGTGTCGGTTGACACATGTCACTCAAATCGTTACAATCGAACGCACGTACTAGTGTCATATGTCATGCAAAACGGGAATTTTAAACGTAGTTAGGTCACGTGTTGATTAAGGCCGTCAAGCCTTGAGGTATCGCTCAATAGCTTCCTTTAAATATTTCGAATACGAAAACGGGAATTCCATGGCCACGTATATACGTCCATCCTCGATGTTCCAGTGTGTTATTTAGATTTGATAAATATATATCGAAATCGAATAGATACTGAATTCACTGGATAATCAGGGCTTGCTTAGGCTTTATTTGAATATTTCGAATGCATTATGTTATTCATTATTGTTTAACCTCGTGGATAGAGCGTCTGCTCAGAGAGAAGAAGGTGGTTCGATTCCCAGCCGCGTCATACAAATACACGTTAAAAGATGGTACTTATTGTTATCCTGCCTGGGGCTCGGCACTAATGGGCTAATACAAGGACTGGTCGGCTCAGAGTCAGTACACTGTGTCTGATTGGGATATCCGTGTTAAACTGCAGCATGGGATCTCAGTTGGTTAACTCTATAAAACCGGCATTAGTCCGGACAAGTACAAGCAGGCATGCGCGCGCGCACGCACGCACGCACACATACACGCACGCACGCACGCACGCACGCACGCACACAAATCGGAAAACTAGCGCAACTTTAAACCCTTTTTCACCTCATTATTAAGTTTTGATGTGCTGACATCGCGAGATATTCAGCGCGAGTGAGTTAAACGTACAGGTCGCGGCGGGAGTAGGTTCTGTGAAGAAGCCATTGTATACAACCAATCCACGTTTAAGTAACACCACGACGTTTCCCTCTAGGCACATGCCAGAGCAGGCCCAGCTGTTGGTACAGAGGTTGCGGAACGACCCCAACATCAACTTCCAGAACGACTGGAAACTCGTCACCATCTTCATCGGGGGCAACGACCTGTGTCAGTTCTGTTCAGATGAGGTAAGAGGTGGACACAGCGAGTGCTGATCGGCTTACGCGGGGATGGAACAGTGAACGGCTTCTTGAGTGTATCGGGTGGTCTGGCTCGGTGAATTGGCTCACTGTGTGTAATCGTACCGCATGGTGGGAGATATTGCTCATTATATCAACCTCTGGCTTGCTTGGTTCAACCCGGAAGTTTTTGATTTCACACTAATTACACACACACATAGTGCCCTAGTTTGACGCTTGTTCTTAATTTACCCGTGATGATCCGGGTTAGAATTGGTCTTAAACAACCCATGTTTGTCGTAAAAGGCGACTAACAGGATCGTGTGGTCAGGCTAGCTGACTTTGTTGATGCATGTCACCTTATCCCAATTGCGTAGATCGATGTTCATGATATCACTCACTGGATTGTCTGGTCCTGACTGGATTTTTCACATACCGCCGTCATATAGTTGGAATATTGGTGAGTGCGGCGTTAAACAAAGGCACTTATTCCATGTAACATTTTGACCTTTATCGAATATGGACACCAGCTCCCTGATTATAGTCCTCTTCAGAGACTGGTATCAGGCAGTATTTGCGCTGGGTTACTTAATAATATGTAGTGACGTATGTGTATCCCAAATTAATAAAACTAAAACACCGATAGGTACAAACACAAGTTCTTGTGACGTAGCATGTTTCTCAAGTCTCATTAAAATCAGATCTTATTTTTGCTACCGCAACATTAGACCTGAGGTCATCCCATTGAAGTGCGACCTTTGACCGATTAATGAAATGACGCCATCACCCATTCAGAAAGCAGCTTTCTCGAGCTTTACGGCACACGTTTCAAACTGTAGACGTCCTTTCTAGATTAATAGTCTTGAGTGTATAAGGTGGACAAGAATGAATAGAAGTATTTACCATGGTCTAAGGAAAGTCTCTTTTGTTTCAAATGTTTATCCTATTGAAGCGAGAGACGGAATCAGTCGTACATACCGTGAATGCAATACCCCGTGTTAACCTTTTAAGGCAGCATGTTTAGAAAACACATTCCATCTGTCGCTTTCCCGATCTGGTAAGCGACGCTCTGATTGGTCGAATCAAAGGTCCTTCTGACGTGACCCGTAATGGGATGTCCTTAGACCTTTCTTTAGCGGTAGCGGGAACTAAGATCGGATTTTAATGTGATTGTCTATTTCTCCCTCAGGCCGCTCACAGCGCGGAGCTGTACGCCAGCCGTATCGAGCAGGCACTACAGATCCTGTACGACAACGTGCCCCGCGCCCTCGTGCAGGTCGTCAACATCTTCGACATCGGCCCCCTGACAGAAATGGGTGGCCTTATATGCTCCACTGTGCACGTGTAGGTTATTTTTTTTTAATATTTTGTTTCCGCAGACCGCGGATTATTGATTATTTTCATGCCGCCGTGATAAAACTGGAAAATTATTGAATGCGGCGTTAAACAATGTTCACTCACTCACTTAATATTCAGGGCGGTAGATTTATACCATGGCTGCGGGTTTCGTCATACCATGCCTCGCCCAATATGTTTCTGCTAGCCTAATATGACACCGTAAATGGCAACTAAAGACACCATAACGAGTTTATTATGCCGAAAAGTTTACACTTTCTGGTATCCGTATCGCACATTTTGCCTTTTATCAGAGATTTCCCCATCGGTGCTACTAGCAAAGCGATTGACAGCCATTGCTGATGTCAAAGGGAGACCACTCTTCAAACCTTAGAGGCCAAACCTTTTTGAAAATTTTAACTATAATCTTTATCAAAGTCACCAATGTGATCCAAAAAACATGAACGTCCTTGCGCATCAAAATTAATGATATTAAAACACAAAAGTGTCGAATGACGAATTTCTGTACCAGAATTTTCAGGTGAAATATATATGTGTAATGGGTGTTGGAAAATCCAAGATGGCTGTTACTGACGGTATACGGTCTTATATTAGGTCAGTATCAACATCTTGTATTTTTACTGACGGTATACGGGTTCATGTGGGGTCAGTAGTTCTGCTCTGCTCTCTGATTGGTCAATCTCACTTTGGGGCATAATAATATGTTTTATTACACTTCAAAATCATATGTTTTCCTTACATTATTTCTCCTACATGTGTCAGCGAGTGAGTGAGTTGGGTATTAGGCCGCTTTGAACAACATTTCAGTTATATTACGGCGAGTGTCTTACGGAGCAAAGTACCCCCCCCCCCCCCCCCCCCCCCCCTCCCTTTAATTAGATAGGACATTCTTGTTTGATAGGCATTACTTAGAAGTTGGCAGATGACAAGATAGACACAATTTTATGGATAACAACTTCTTTAATACTCGAAAAAGCGACGTTTCGGTATAGATCCTTATACCGTTGTCAAGCAAGACTGAATGAGGGACATATAGTGCAGAATATATATAGCAAGTGGAGGATTAACAGTAGAGGATTAACAGTAACAACAAGGGCATACATGAGTGGGATAACATAGGTAGGTGTGACAACAAGGATGATGCTATCACAACACGATGGACAGAAAACACATAGCTAGAAGCCAATGGGGCATGAAGCCAATAAACAGGTGATTATTGTTTGATGAGTTCATAGTAGGCGGATGGGATGAAATAGCCTTGATCTCTGTTGATTGTTGGGTTGTGGCGGCGAATGTGGACTGCTTCTGTTAGTTTTCTTTTGGTGAAATCATGGAGGTTGTTGGCGAGGATTTGGACGTTGTCCCAGTTGATGATGTGATTGGAACAGTTGATGATATGGTCCGAGATGGCTGATTTGCTGTCGGATTTGATGGTGGAGGTTTTATGCTCTTTGATTCTAGTGTTGATTGGGCGGGAGGTTTCACCTACGTAAGATTGCCCGCAGTTGCTGTCAACTTTGTAGACTACACCTTTAACCTCTTGGGGTTTAGATGTGTTCCTGCCGTTGGCTCTTAGCAGGGTGTTGAGGGAGTTGGAGCTGGTGAAGTGGGTGTCGATGTTGGCTTGCTGTGTGAGGAGGTGGCTGATGATGTGGGAGGCTTTTCCTATGAACGGGAGGGCGATGCGGAAGGGCGCTGATTCGGGTTTAAGGGCCGCATGTCTGGGTGTGGGATAGAGTACAGAGGCGATGACTTTGTCGACTAGTTTGGCCGGATAATTGTTGAGGTGGGTGAAGACTTGGCGGAGGTGTACGATCTCAGGTTTGGGGTCAGCAGAGGAAAGGTTGATGGCACGTTTTGTTGTCACACCTACCTATGTTATCCCACTCATGTATGCCCTTGTTATTACTGTTAATCCTCTACTGTTAATCCTCTACTGTTAATCCTCCACTTGCTATATATATTCTGCACTATGTCCCTCATTCAGTCTTGCTTGACAACGGTATAAAGATCTATACCGAAACGTCGCTTTTTACAGTATTAAAGAAGTTGTTATCCATAAAATTGTGTCTATCTTGAGATAGGACATTGTCAAACGTTGACATCAAACATAAAAAAGTGCAACTTCCGAATGCAATGAAGCGGATCCGGAACCGAATTTAGCATGCAAAATAAAAATAGAAAACCTTTGATATCATGCCGTAGATTATGGGGGAGTGATGTTTTTAACGTTTGCTGCAAGCTACAAGTTCCAAATCTGTGGGCAGCGGGGGTGGCCTAGTGGTTAAAGCGTTCGCTCCACACGCCGAAGACCCGGGTTTGATTTCCCACATGAGTACAATGTGTGAAGACCATTTCTGGTGTCCATCGCCGTGATATCGCTGGAATATTGCCCAAAGCGGCGTAAAACCATACTCACTTACTCCGAATCTGTCATTCCCAGATACGCCTGTGACTGTCTTCTGAACCAGCCCGGACGAGACAAAGCAAGTCAACTGACCATAGAATACCAACGTGAGACGGCGAGAGTAGTCAGCAGTTCAAAGTTCAACAACCACGATGACTTCACTGTAGTGCTGCAGCCATTCCTCGAGAACGCTGACCCTCCAAGAAAGGTTGGACAATACAACGTGTCACGTGATACAATATGCCCGCTACTTTGACGTTATGTGTTGCCACCAATTGTGGGATTTCTTCCCCCGCTCAGAAAATTCTGTCCATCCCATGTAGTACATGTAGTATATGATCAAGATCACGTGAACCAATCAGATCTCAACTTTCTGACACGAAGGCAATAAAAGAACACCTTTACCAGGTCGTTACCACCTTAACACCTTTTCAACTGTCGCTGACAAATATTCATCAATTCAAACCTGAGGCTCACATGATTTATTTATCATATATAACGAGGCTGAGGCTAAAATGTTTTTTAGTTACATGGACAGGCTTCTTCAAACGTTAACAAACAAAATAATCACACCTTCACAACTGTCTAAGTTATAAGAACGTTTTACTATGCAACAGATGCTTACGAATATTTATCATACACAATGAGCCTGAGGCTAACATGACTTATTAATGATTTTCGGGAACAAACTATTTACAAATTAAATACTGGCCCCAAGGCCCTTCCATCACAATATGGTGGGTCACGTGATTTGTCAACCCGAGCTTCTGTGAACAAGAGAGCAAGATTGCAAAGAGTTAATTTATGGAACACTATTAGTTCAGAATCACCAAAGTCTCAAATCACATCTGCTCGCACAAAGGGTATACCATACACCCCGAGGGATCGGTTGACAACGAATTTATCTCAACGGTATAACGTTCGTCTGTTTATCTAAATCTAAAACGTCTTCATCAGTGTGGTTGACGAATAGTTTTACGGCCATCCAGAGTTATCTCCCATGCATTACAATCGGATATGCTCGGTTAAATTCGCTAACCTGCATTTGATAGGTGTTGAGTTTCGAGATAATTTAAACATGTAACTGTTTCGGATGGGTAAGATGTTCGACATTTCCCAGCGGAATACAGTCAAGTCCCGTTAATCCTACAAGGTTGGTTGCATATAATTATGTCGGTTTAACGAGTATGTTGGATAAACGAAATTAAGTAGTATCAACGTTCGCGATCGAAAATCGGACAACTACACGATAGATAACGATACAAAACGTAATAAAAAAAAATGAAAGATGGAGTATTCATATTGTTATGTTACATTGTAAGCGGAATATGTATATGAAATGGGGGAAAATTGCTCATTCAGCAGCCAATCAGAAACGAGTGTATTATACAAGGTAAGATAATTGTCATCCAACCTCCTCCCCTGATTTGTAGTCTGATGGGAGCCTTGACACCGCATTCTTCGCCCCCGACTGCTTCCACTTCAGCCGTATGGGACACCAGATGGTCGCCAAGAACCTCTGGAACACCATGGTAAGTGTCACGCTCTGTCTCATCATCATCATCATCATCATTATCATCATCATCATCATCATCATTATCATCATCATCATTATCATCACCCGCCCCTCTTGGTTTGCCAGCATTCTATAATCATGACTTTAAATTCAAGGTTCGCCTTGATTATGATTGTTGGTCAGAACCGCACCTGTACCCCCCCCCCCCCCCCCCCCTTTCATTCAGTTTTACCATCAGAGAATTTCGGATGCAGTGCACTATTTAAAAGTAGGCGATAAATTCATTAATATTTATTTATAAATAAAATCCAAATATAGCTGGAGTATTGCTGACTGTGGCATAAAACAACATTCACTCACTCACTCACTTCTTGATAAGTAAAGTCCACAAACTCTTGCAGTTCCAGCCTGTGGGTCTGAAGGATCGAGACTGGGACATGCACGCCCCCATCTTCTGCCCTGGCCAGGTGAGAACACACACGCTTACACCTGTACACTGATGGCAAGAAATAACAGAACTCATGACAATCTAGCAGATGGCTTACATTAACTTGATAGCAAGAAGGAAATAACCATCATGAAAATATTAATAAATGTGAGATGTATGTCAGTAATGTTAATAGAAATTTATTGTTAAACTGTACCGTTGACATTTAGACCAGTTCCGTTTCTATCTTGTGTCTAAGTAAAGTATGTAGCCAACTTAGCGCTAAAGTATGATGTTAATTGTTTTTGCAATAAAAACTGAAAACAGATTTACTTGGAGATGGTCTGAAAGTTCGTTGGTTCATATTTGTAGGTAAGAGTAGCATAGGTGATGTTTATATAGGTGAAATAGGTATGTGATGAAATGCACATTTGTTTTTCAGAATGAGTTTATAGCCACCCACCAGAACAGTAGACGATAATGGAGAAGCGTGGCAACTGTGTGTCATGTCAGAAATAAATACCGACAATAAATCCGTATGAACCTTTCTTGTTGTTATTATTCATCGATTTGTTTTCGCGGTCTACCTGGTCCACATATATTACTGCTGGTATCTACATAGGACATGTAGGTCATATTAATGCTTTGGTCAGAATTCAGGTGAAGTTCAGAAACGCTGGCGGCGGAGTATAGCTGGATGGGTCACCGCCCTCGACAAGCTTGAGTCTGGTGTTTGGGGCTTGGTACTGCCCCGTACTGAATCACAGGGTCATAAACGTGTGTTGTCATCTAAGACGTGACCTTGTGTGACATAATCTCTGTTCACACAGCAGCGAATGGGTACCCCGTTGGGTGAGATGACAATGTGAAATCACAGCTTTCGAGCCACATAACAGAAGCAGATGTGAAACATTTTGAGACAATTTTCTTCCGTCGTCCCAGTGACGATGTTGGGAATCTGAATATGGCATGAGTAGTTAGTGCAACGTTCCATTGCCACATTTGTATACTCCCCATGGAGCTGAGAATGTCATTTATGTGGACACATCAATTGCCGAGGATAATGATTGTGTAGCGGCATTTGCATGGATATGGCGCAATATAATACGCGTTGATTAGTAATTGGTTCTCATATGACGAATTTACATCCACATTATTTGGAGTAAGTGAGGACAATTTTACGCCTCTATATTCCAGCAATATCAAGGGGCGCCAGAAATGGGCTTCATACATTGTACTCGCGTGGAGAATCAAAATCAGGCGAGCGAAAGATTTAACCACATGGCTACCCCACCGCCCCACATATACATTATAACCTTAATAGGGTAGCCTAGTGGTTAAAGCGTTCGATCGTAACGCCGAAGACCCGGGTTTCGATCCTACATGGGTACAATGTGTGAAGCCCATTTCTGGTGTCTCTCGACGTGATATTGCTGCAATATTGGTAAAAGCGGTGTAAAACCCTACTCACTCACTCACTATAACCTTAATATGACTTTGTATTGTTCTTACATCAAAGAAGATAACTTTGATCCAGAGGAGCAACACAGCAAGAAGAAATTAGCACATCCATCTATTGATGCAAGTACCAATACTGTCGACCCGTGAAGATAGGGTCAGAATGGGTCTTCAGCAACCCATGCTTGCTGTAAGTGTCGACTGACGGGATCGGGTGTTCTGACTCGCTGACTTGGCCGATGTATGACATTGTATCCCAATGCGTGGATCGATGCTCATGATATCAATCACTGGATTGTCTGGTCCAGACTGGATTATTTACATTCCGCCGTCTTATATCTGGAAAATTTGTGAGTGTGGCGTTAAACAAAGCCTCTTATTCCTAATTACAACATTTTGACCTTTATCGAATATGGACACCAGCTCATTGATTCGTCCGATTCAGTCATTTACATCACCGTCATATAGCTGGAATATTGCTGAGTGTGGTGTTAAACAACAATTCTACCATGAATTTGGAATTTACTCGATTCTGATTGGTCAATCAGAGGCTATTAAAACACAATAAACCCCCTCTGATTGAAACAGCTGGTTTGACGGCCGCATCACCGCGGAAGCTAATATTCATAGAATAGTACTATTTTCAGTCATTGTCGGTAGGCAAATTTAAATAATTATATCTACAATTACAGGTTAAAAAATGCACAGATGCGGTCACTACAATATTCAAGGGATGTGTGGCAATACATTTCGTGTACAAAAACACGACAGAAATCAACAAAGGGAATGTATTTACGTTTGGAAGACAACAGAGAGCTTGGAATTTTGGCGCTTTTTATAAACGACTGTGACGTCATATTTTTTGCGTCACCATGAGCGATATGACGTCTTGCTTTGTTTTCTTTAGGGATGCCTACCTCATGTTAGCTTACCAAGATGGCGTGCCTAGTTGCCGTGCTTTCAATGCCTCTCATATGTTCGAGTGAAGTGTTACAGTGTAAACAAACTGCTTGAGTATATACAGCACCATATTTTGTTCGTTGATTCCGTAATTCAGATGATAACCCACTCAAAACACTGACCTCAACCCATGCCGCTTCTCTCAGTATATTTGCTAACACCAAAGAGTTCGCGTTTTATTTAGTTATGGTAGAATAAAGATAAACATACTGTGTGTGCAATGTAGAACTAGGTTACCTGTAGATTTAAACGCGCTAAATTTAACATTTGAAACCTCACGCTGCGGGGTTAAATCTCCAGGTAACCAAGCATTATGGGAATTTCTACATTCAGATATATGTATTTCTCGTGTATTTATGGTCATTTTGCCTCGTCAATAATTGTACAGAAACACATGTTTGCAAGACGCCCCCGTCAGAATTTATTCTCCGACAGTCTTGGAGAGGGTTTTCCTCTCTGAGAACTGCGCACGGTATATATATAAACTAAATAAGATCCTTATCTTCCACCTAATCTTGGGGGCACACGTGCCCAAGTCGTCTAAGGCGCCGCGATTCGCTGTGCGTCCCTTGGGCACTCTAGAAACCTATGATTGTGGGTTCGAATCCAGGTTTGCCCCGATTAGGTTTCTAGGTTTGTCAGCACCATACCCGTGCTCATGGGTTTCACCGAAGTGGTAAACGTCTGAGACCTGCATCACTTCGGGCCTTCCTCCTCTCTTACACAAGTACCCGGCATAAAGCTGACACGCTGTGATATAACTGGAATATTGTTCAAAGCGGCGTTAAACCCAACTCACTCACTCTACATGATTAATGATTAAAAAATGATACCAATTAGCTTCGATGCTGAATCACCTGCTGCTAACCAGAGTACCCCAACCAGGGGTTCAGTTGGTATTGGCAACTTAGGTCAACCGAAGTATGACGTAAATCAGTTAACATGTGCTAACATTGCTCAACCAATGTTAACCTGAGTTAACCTTGGTCAACACGGGTTAATCAGGGTCGTCCTCCCACATTAAGCTGACATGCTGCTATATAACTGGAATACTGTTAAAAGCGGCGTTACACACAACTCACTCACCCCTCCACCTGGTCTTGACACAACTAGTTACGAGATATTGGAAAACCTACCTACCAAAAAAAGCATACTTACTGAGTTGTACAATACGATATGGTCCAAAGGAGAAGTCCCAAATGCTGCAGTTATCCCGCTTCTAAAGCAAGGGAAAGACGAATTCCTACCAAACTCTTATCGACTGATCTCACTCACCTCAAACATGTGCAAAGCTGTAGACGTCATGGTTACTGGCAACCACATCGAACCTGATCAAAGTGGCTTCAGGAAGGAAAACTCATGTCTAGATCATATTCTAAGACTGGAAAATGAAATGGCAAGCTAGCCGCAGTATTTCTGGACTTCAGCAAAGCCTTCGACTTGGTGTGGCATCCCTCACTAAAGCCATCTGGGATATTGGTATGAGAACGCATCCGAAGTCACAATTGTGGTGACTAAAAAGGGACTTTAAAAACTCCCAAACTTGACACTGCTTTAACATCAGAAGTCACTAGAACAGAAAACCCAACCCTACTACGATCAGCAGCTATCACAAAAACTCAAACTACCTGGGACAGCTGGGCCCATATATACACTGATGGATCCAAGAATCCTATCAACAACAGTGCTGTTTACGGGATCCATAAAGACAGCTCCAAACCCAACCACATTCAGTTCGCCTGCCTGATGGTCAGTCAGTATTCACTGCTGAATTGGAGGCAATTCACCATGCACTCAAACTCATACCGGAACTACCGGAAGCACAAGCAGTCGTCCTATCAGACTTGCTAAGTGCACTTCAAGCCATCAGCGGGAAAAACTCCAGGCCAAACACAGTCAATAATATTCTATACGAATATACAAAACTATCAGACCGAGGGCAACAGGTGGAGCTGTGTTTGACCCCTCTCAAATAGATATTCATAGAAATGAAAAAGATGACACACTGGCGAAGCTAGCTCTCGACAAAGCAGAACTACAGCCTATTCCCTTTAGTAAACTAGAGATAAAAATCAAAATTAAAGCCCCTATAGCCGGCAGATCGGCTAAGATCGGCAGATAGCTATACAAAATTCAACCCAAGGATCACCAAAAGTCCAACTCATACTCAAATGAAAGGAAAGTTGAAATTGCCATCTCACGCCTCAGACTCGGTCACAAAAAGCACTATGACAAGGTTTGTTCATCTTGCAATCAGGCTGAATCCATTACTCACTTGTTACTGGAATGTCAAGACCACTATCCACCATCTGTCGCAGATCTCCTGAAGCCAAGACATGCAACAGCGTAGGCCAAACTAACTCTACATCTGAGATATGGACAGGTACTCGAACGTATATAAACAGAACAGCAAACGACAAAAATGAAATTATATCAATATACGAAAATAGAAATCATTTCAATACAGAAACAGAAATTATCTGAAGACCAAACTCACAATAGATATGTGTACCCTTCTCACACACATGAGTCCCAAAGAGGGACAGGTCAGCCGAAATTGCTAAGGCAAAAGGCGTCCTCTTAAACACTTAAAGCAACAACAGCTTTTCTTCACCCTCCAGGCTTCGTTAAATCGTTCACAATTGTCTCACTACTGGAGTGGTCACGTTCGAAATTCAAGTTTCGTCAGTAAGTGGGTTCGGGGCTATGTTGATCTAGATTCTGACGTAGTCTGGTTGTACTGAACTAAACGTAGTCACTAGGGTTTGTTATACTGAGTTTGGCTAGAAATCTGTGGATAACCAACTTTTCCCGTGATTTGTAAACTCTTTGTAACTAATGTTTCTAATACTCAGTTTTTCTAGCAATAAGTGGATAACCGACCTGCCCATGTTTGATTAAGCGCTTAGTGATTAGTGTTTCCAATACTCTGTCAAACAAGGTCACGTGTCTTAGATGACAACACACGTTTAAAAACCTGTGCTTCAGTGAGGGGCAGGACCAAGTCCATCCAGCAAAACTCCGATGCCGGCGTTTCTTAACTTCACCTAATTTCTGAACAAAGCATTAATATGATGAATAATAACAACGCGTTACAAGCAGAATGGTGCAGAATTCCGCAAGAAATAAT